TATATATATATAATACTTTATTTATTTATTATACTTTAATTCTGCAATTGGAATGGATTCACATTGTGGAAATCACAAGGCCTTAATTAATTTGAGTTCATTTTACTCTCAGTAAAATTGCATTTTGCTGATGAAAATAAAAATGTTGTTAATAATATGCAAAATGATGTATTTCAATCTATCAAACATATAAAGGATTAATGAACTTCTAATGTAATATAATGTCAAAACGGTCCTGAATGAATGATTTTAATTCACATTTAATTTCTACATCCTGTTTGTCATCGTTCTTTTACCTCTCTGTGATTCCTGGTAGGATGAAAAACATCCAGAAATGGATGCCGAACACTAGGACCACCTGGAAAATCACTTTTCCCATCACTGTCTTGCGGAGGTACAGGGCGCGATCCACCACCATCGTGCCGAACTGGATGAGCACCATGACGAGGAACGGCCCGGGAACTTGGTCTTCTGACAGCGAGGATGTGATATCAGCACCTCCCTGATGTTTCTGTGAGCCAGACAAAACACACATCAACACACAGCCAAGGAGAGTTCGTTTTAAGAGTCCGTTTAGAAGAGAAAAAGGCAGATCTGATCTGAAACCTAGCTGTCTACTGGCATGCATCATGTGTACATTTTTTAAAAATACTTTTAATACTAATTGCAAATACTTTCAAATTTACCCCAAATGCCCAGAAGCCAAAGACAATAATGATGAAATCAACAGTGTCTGCTAGAAACATCAAGACGTAAACATCTGTCACGGCGTTGTACTCAGGGTGGATCAGGTTATAGAAGAACTGACGGATGGGCTGATAGAACTCAACCAATCTGAAGAGAGAAGATAATATAAAGAGACAGGCTAATATAACATATTAAAAACAGGATAAAGAATGAAAGCGTGTGCATCAATCAGCCAAAACAGTCACCATGAAATGGCATTCATAACCTATTTTACTTACATAATCTGTTCAATGAGAGAAAAATGACTTGAATTTATCAATTATCCAACTGACTGGATCATTTAAAGTGTAGGGCACTATGAAATCTGTTTTGTTTTTTCCCCAAATTCAATGTTTTTCATTTTAAATTTTTCTGGATTCCGTTTTAATACTTTAATTAAATTTAAATGAGCAAAAAGCACGTCTGATCAATTGAATTCATTAAATTTTAGCAATGTAATAATTTATTAAAATGTTAACAATAATAGTGCCATTTGAAATATTTTTATTCAAAAAACTCTGTTTTAATTTTCTGGATTCTTTCTTTGTTTTATAGTTTCATGCAAATTTATCATCCAAGAGAATGTATGCATAAAACTTTAACAATGTAATCTTTTAAAATATAATTCTAGTAATTTTTTGGGAAAACAGTATTGCACAACTGAGATTTACTCTTTAAAATTAAAACATGGGCCAAAAAAATTGTGTGATAGTCCTTAAAAATTATGTTTAATATACTGTAATATACACTAATATTATTTGTTTCCTGCATCCACATAAAGGAAAAGTTGCCTCAGTGGTGGAGAACGATTATTTTTCTTTAATATAAATACATTCTTTTTATATAATATTTATAAATATTATCATTCGTTTTTATTTTTATTATTTTTTGATTTTTTAATATATAAAATGTATTATTTATTTATTCTAACAATAACATCTGTTTTTCCAAACGCACTTACTTTTTGATCACATAAACCTTTGCTTTGATGAGCTGCTCTCGGATCTTCTCCATGATCATTTCTTTGCGGCTCTTCTGTGGTACTTCTGGCTCTATGGTGCTGTTTTCCCTTCGAATGCTGTTCCGTGTGCTTGTGCTGCCTGTGAAAGCAACCAAACGTCAACATAGTTAAACTCATAGTAATGCTTGACTATAAACTTCCAAGAAAAAACTAGTTATTTCGCTAGTTGTCTAAAATGACGATGCTTGTCCACCGGCTAGATCAAGATGAAACCAGTGCTAGTAAAACCAATGCGTGCTATGCATGTGAATTTGAGATGAAACGATGTTTGGGTCAAGACTTCTCACCGCGTTTGGAGCGCACAGATGAGCGGCGGGACAGGTGAGATCCGCTAGTGCTCTGCCGCCGCAGGTGAGGCCGATGCTCAGGGTAAAGTATTTGCACGTGCACCTGGGACGAGTCCACGGACATGCCGAGGTTCACGGACTTGAGCGAGTACGCTGGAGAACTCCTCTTCTCTTCCTCAGGTGGAATCGCCACCGCCATCTTCCCCTCCTCCACAGAATCGTCCTGATGAAGACACTCATCCTTACGGGACGCTTTAGGGTCGTCTTCATCCCAGAGACCGTGACACTGAGCCCGAGAGAGAGAGAGCAGCGGCATTAATTCAGGAAAACAAACGCTAAGGTATCGCAGGATTGGAAAAGGAAAACTGTGATTCATCCAAGACCCATTTATTGCCTGTTTAATCAAAGTTGTAAAGTAAATAAATGGCACTTTTGGAAACAAGACAAAAATTTAAATACCATTACATTAAGCAATAAAAATAAATTAAATAATTAAAAAAAAAACCAACAAAATCAGGGCTTTAAAATGGATTCTGCAGGGCTGCAAAATAATTGCAAACCCCATTAAATAAATCTGAAATGCTCGTATAATATTTAACAACCAACACTTTCTGAAGGCTTGTTGGGTTGCGTTTTAAAATCACACAAATCTTTACAAGCAGTGTTTATTATTTCATAAAATCAAAGAGAAGTAAAAAAAAAACACTTCAGCATGACATTGCACTTTTTTAACTAGGGTAGTAATATCACAAAAACGGCAAAATCTGAAACGTAAAGATATATAAATGTTCTAATTGTAATTTTCTAACTGATTTTTAATATACAAATAATATAATATAAGCATTATTATTATTAGGAATGTTTTATATAATATTTATATTTTTTTATATAATATTTATATTTTTAATTATACGATTTTAATGTTTTTGCCTTTTTTAACTACGGTATAATGTGCACTGATGAATCTTTCACAGTAAGAAACATTTAGTAACTGTAGAAGTAAATAAAGTACATTTGAATTCTTTTCCCACACACTCATTTTTGAACAGGTAAACCTTTGCTTTTGCATTTAAGAATTACATTTGACTTGATGTATTTAGTTACTAAATGTTCCTTATCGTCAAAGATGTCAGTGCAAAATGTTATGATTGTAAAATGTATAATTTTCTCCTCTCCGGGTTTCAGATAGGTCTCGATTCTGCAGATGTATCCTGGTGAAAAGTGCAATGTCATGCTGAAGCTCTTTCTGAAATAATCTGAAACCTGGAGAGAGGAGGAGAGAAACCTCAAACGCTAGGAATTGATTTTAAAAATCCATTTTATGGTTTTCAAAGCTCTCAACAGTGTAGTGGCTTCGTTTAGATTTCTTAAAGGGGTCATATGATGCGATTTCAATTTTTCCTTTCTCTTGTGAATTATGTTTCCAGCTGAATCTCGGCTCTGATCTCTCATCTAAGTCGCTAAACATCTAAAAACTGAAGTAGAAAACAGCCAGTATTTATTCTGAACAAGATTTTGGAATGCAAAATCCATTCCTGTGCAAACCTTAAAGCTCAAATAAATATGCAAACATATAGTATTTAAATATAATGACAAAATATACTTATTTAGGTTTTTAATTTCTATGTATTCTGCATTTATCTTTGCATTTGCTAACTCTCACAGCTAACAGGGAACGTTCTCTCAAAAGTTATGAGCAACCATAGGCGGAGGGCCACGGGGTCTTATGGCAAAAATGCCACTAAATTGGACAAAAATGCTCCTGCACAAACAAATTAAATATATTGCGTCTGTTGCTAACAAAGAGGAAATGAATAGAAAGTGTCGATTCGATCGCGGCATTAGATTAAGATCTGCTCATGTTGCACCGTATTTCATTTCGTTTTTACAGTTTTGCGCATTATAACCAATCACACACGATTCCGTTGAGCTTAGGAATGCAATGGCCAATCAGAGGCGTTCAGATGAGTCATCGCTGAAACTCATCAGCTTTGTTGAGTGCGCGCGTGTTCGCTGACTGAAATCCGGACTCTTGCGAATTCTCTCATCATAAACAGCAAAACGCAGATGTACGTACAATGTAAGTAAGAGATTAATTTCGCAGTGTAGACAGCTTCAGTGATTATAATGATAGTTTTTTTTGAGAGTGCTTAAACTCGCGATAGATCAAAGCTAGTGATAATGTCACTTTCTGTAGGCTATACTATTTATTCGCCGTTTGAATACACGTTATATAATTATAAATGTCTAAAGTTTTAATTAAATTGTAATCACGTTAAATACAAATTCAGTCCCATTAAACATATTTTATTAGCCTACATGACACCCATGTCTGGTTCTTGCCTAAAAAGACATAATGTTTGTATTTAATAGATTTGGCTGCTTTTAGCCTTACCCTGGAGTTGGTTCACCCTCCGCCTATGTGAGCAACGTTCATCAAGTAACTTTAAAAGAGCATTTGTTCAAAGTTATCTAGTTTTTATGTTTTAGTTGGACATTCGTGGGTTATTTCCCATTTCAGAATATTCAGAGAACATTCAAACCTTCAAATGTAACGTTCCCAAAATTATAAAATAGAATGTTCATTTAAACGTTGTGGCATAACTAAGAAAAAAAAGTGACTTTTCTAAATGATGTTTTCATAACTTTATGGGAACATTAGCAAACCTTTCTTAGACTGTATTTTTGTCAGCTGGGCTAGACACAAATTTTTTTAAAATTATTTTTATTATGCTTCAAAGTTGCTTTACTGACAAGCTTTATTAGTGCTACTAGATCCGCCACAACAATCATCACTACGATGTGGCAAATGAGAGTATGTACCTTTAGTATGGATCGGTGGAAAAACAGCACCAGCAGCTGAACCAGGTCATAGTGCACGTATCCTTCTTTCCTTTCTATGCCGATGATGTTGGGCGGATGGTATGGCTTCCCCTTGGTGACATTCAGGTTCTGGTTGAATGGGAAAAAGCTGAACTGGAAGAAGTATTTGACGACGATTGTGACCTGGAGAAAAAAAAAAACACATTTACAAATTATTTATACCTATATTTAATGTAATAGTTCACCCAAAAATAAAAATGTGCTAACAATCTCCTCACCCCCAGGCCATTCAAGATGTAGATGAGTTTGTTTCTTCATCAGATTTGGAGACATTTATCATTACATCATTTGCTCACCAATGGATGCTCTGCAGTGAATGGGTGCCATCAGAATGAGAGTCCAAACAGCTGATAAAAACATCACAATAATCCACAAGTGATCCACACCACTCCAGTCCATCAGTTAACATCTTGTGAAGGGATCATTGCGGCGTTTTAACTGCACTTCTGGACAAAAGTCCTAATCCATAATAATGCTTCCTGTTGCTTCTCACATCAAAATCCACCTACATTTGTTTTAAACTGTTCTGGCTTGTAGATGGTGCTTGATTTGTGCAGATGGATTTGTTTCTTACAAACATGCAGCTTTTGTCTTCTCCAGATGTTAACTGATGGACTGGAGTGGTGTGGATTACTTGTGGATTATTGTGATGTTTTATCAGCTGTTTGGACTCTCATTCTGACGGCACCCATTCACTGCAGAGCATCCATTGGTGAATGCAAGTGAATGCTACATTTCTCCAAATTTGATGAAGAAACAAAATCACTACATCTTGGATGGCCTGAGGGTGTATAACTTGAATGTATAACTGGGTCTGCACAGAATCTGTGCCATTCACTGAAAACAAACCCTGACCTCTGTGTACACGATGGCCGTCATCCAGAAACGCTTGCTGGGCCGAGGAACAGAGAGCATCGCCCACAGGAAGATGAGGATGGGCAGCACCAGTGTTGCCATGGAAGCCGAGATCATGTGGTTGAGGATGATGACCAGGTAACCGACCATCTCAGAGTGCGCCACCAGCAGGTTATAGAGAGCGTAACACAGCTGGAGCCCGAGCGGCTGCGATTTATAGAAATGCTCAGAATTCTCCAGCTCCTCATCATAGAACATTCTGGATAACAGCGCAAAAACAGATCCCATTAAATGACCGTATGCAGGCAGTCTCTTACCTACAATTCACACTTCCATTGTGCTCCAGTTCTGCTGGTGATGAGAGCACCAGCAATATTTGAATATTAGCAATGTTGTTATTGTTAACTAAAACTAAAATATTTTTGCTAAATAAAAATAAAGCTGAAATAAAATACATTAAATTAATACATCAAATATTATATTAAATTATAAATATTACAGATGTAAAGATATAGTTGTTAGAACTAAGATGAAAAACTACCTAAAAATGACAAAAGCACATTATAAAATGACTAACTGAAAACTAAATCTAAAGCTTAACTAAAATTAAAAGGCAACTATTTTTAAATATCTTTAAAGACAAAAACTAATAAAAATGACAAAAGCTCATAATAAAATGACTGAGATGAAGCCAAAACTAAAGCTTAAATAAAAATAAATTACAACCATTTAGATATATCTTTAAAAACAAAAATAACAAAAGCACATCATAAATTTACTAAATGAAATAAAACAATCTAAATGGCAACTATTTTTAAACAAAACCAATAAAAATGACAAAACACATAAAATTAGTAACTAAGGATATAACTAAAATTTAAATAAAAATAAAAAGCAACCATTTAGAAATATTTTAGGAAACAACTAAAAATGACAAAAGCTCATAAATTACTGAGATAAAACTAAAATAAAAAAATGACAACTATTTACTGTAAATATATTTTTAAAACAAAAACTAATTAAACTGACAAAAGCAAATAATAAAATTACTATCCATTTAACTACAGGTGCATCTCAATAAATTAGAATGTCGTGGAAAAGTTCATTTATTTCAGTAATTCAACTCAAATTGTGAAACTCGGGTATTAAAATTAATATTATATCAAATGTCTGCGCTTATATTTACAGGACGAGTGAGACAGTGCTTGTTTAACTGTACATGCAGACATGAATTTATTTAATACACGAGTTTCACAATTTGAGTTGAATTACTGAAATAAATTAACTTTTCCACGACATTCTAATTTATTGAGATGCACCTGTATTTAGAAATATTAAACTAAAACTAATAACAAACAAAATTGCTCAAAAATTACTGAAAATATATAAAAAATAAAAGCTAATTCAAAATATTAATAAAAACTACTATATAAATAATAGTAAAATAACACACCACAGAGCACTCTGAATAAGCTGTGATGTAATCGAGACAAGCTCTATGTGAAAGAACTCACTTGTTGAGCAGCAGTTCGCTGGCGGTCAGATCGGTGGTCATGGAGGGCAGCAGAGGGTCGTCCAGATCGGATCTGCTGTCGGGCGTCATCAGCATCAGCCGTTTGTCACTGTCACTTTCGTCCGAGCTCAAAGACAGACGGTCGAAGCTCACGGCTTTGCTGTAGCTGGGCGGCACGTCAGCGTCCGAGGTGTTGGGGGCGTCTGTGTCCGGGGTGAAAAGATGCCCGCTGATCACGTTCTCCAGTCCTGATGATTCACCTTCATCCTGTCGGATCGGCTGTTCACCATCCTCATCTTCAGTAATGTACTGCTCTTCTTTTTGATGCTCCTCACAATCCAGCTGAGGAACCTGAACATCTTCAACTGCTTCCTCTGGATCCACTGAATCCCATTGGACTTCCTCTTCCACGTCTCCTGTCACTTCCTCTGCTGGCTCATCTGTCACTTCCTGTGACACTTCCTCTTCCAGCTCACCTGTCTCTTCCTGTGTCACTTCCTCTTCCAGCTCACCTGTCTCTTCCTGTGTCACTTCCTCTGCCGGCTCATCTGTTGCTTCCTCTGCTGGCTCATCTGTCTTTTCCTGTGTCACTTCCTCTGCTGGCTCATCTGTTGCTTCCTGTGTCACTTCCTCTTCCAGCTCATTCGTTGCTTCCTGTTTCACTTCTTCTTCTTTCACTTCCTCATGATCTGCTCTCTCAGGTTTGTCCTCAACAGTCTCTGTGGTTTCCTCCTCTTTCACCTGCACCTGTTCTCTCTCGTCCTCGACCTCGTCTATAGTGTCGTTGGTTCCTTGCCGAGAGAACAGTGTGACGCACTGAGTAGCTTCACTAGAAGCAAAACCACAAAAACAACACCAACTGATGAGTTCAAAACAACCACTGTAAACTTATCAATCTGTGAACAGTATAACATCTTAAAGGGATAGTTCACCCCAAAATGAAAATGTGATGTTTATCTGCTTACCCCCAGGGCATCCAAGATGTAGGTGACTGTTTCTTCAGTAGAACACAAACGAAGATTTTTAACTCAAACCGTTGCAGTCTGTTAGTCATATAATGGCAGTCAATGGGCTCCATGGCTTCGAGAGTCAAAAAAATATGCACAAACAAAACCAAATTAAACACTACGGCTCGTGACGATACATTGAGGTCTTAAGACACGAAACGATCCTTCTGTGCAAGAAACTGAACAGTATTTATATAATTTTTTACCTCTTATCCACCGCAATGTCTGAGCGCATTCACAACATCCGACGCATGTACGTGCTCTGGCATAGTAGACATAGATATATATAAGTAGATGCCTCATTAGTGACTGTTTCTATGCAAAGATAATTAGAAGTACAGGTCATCACAATGGAAGATGATTTTGATAAATCATCAGACAATGTGGAATTTTTTGCCCAACCGTATTTATTTGACGTCACGCGACGGCTGTTGAGAACGCGCTCAGAACAGTTGGACATTGTGGTGAATCAGAGGTAAAAAATTATATAAATACTGTTCAGTTTCTTGCACAGACCGATCGTTTCGTGTCTTAAGACCTCAATGTATCGTCACGAGCCGCAGTGTTTAATTTGGTTTTGTCTGTGTATGTTTTTTTTACTCTCAAAGCCGTGGTGCCCGTGGACTGCCATTATAAGTCTAATAGACTGCAACGGTTTGAGTTAAAAATCATCATATGTGTTCTACTGAAGAAACAAAGTTACCTACATCTTGGATGCCCTGGGGGTAAGCAGATAAACATCACATTTTCATTTTTGGGTGAACTATCCCTTTAAGACATTTTGACATTGAATATTGGCTTTGAATAACACAACTACCTGCAATGCTCTACAAAAATATACACAAATAGAAAATTTAAATACTTACTTTGTAAAGATTTGTGTATTTACTACTGAAATATCATCCTTTTTAGGATTTTATTCATTTCTAGAAGCCGATTGATGTCTGATACATCATAAATGTTCATTATGTAGAACCAATCATTTTTGTTATGCTACAATAATAAAAACATATGCATTATATATATTTTATTATTAAAATAATGTATTATTTTAGATTAATAATAACATTATTATTATTATTATTATTATTATTATGGCTGTTGTTGTTATAGTTATTACTATTAGTAAATGTTATGTTAAATGTTTTCTTTCCACTAGATGGTATTTATAATACTAATAATGATATTAATAATATCAATATTAAATTGAATTAATTTTAATAACACATTTAATTATTTTTCTAATACAAAATATTAGAATTATTATGATATATTAAAATAATGTACTATCATGATTAATAATAATAATTCAACTATTGTTATTAAAATTAATAATAAAAACATAATAATAATAATATTAAATATATTGTTATTGTTATAACTAATACAAATCACATATTTAAAAAATATTAAATTTTGTTATATTTAAAATAAATAAAAAATCTAAAATTTTTATTTTAGTCATTTAGCATTTTCTTTTCGGTTGTTCATTCATCATTGTAAACCTGTTTTCTTTTTTTCTTTTTTTTTTATGTAATGCTGAAATCAAAACAAAGGGGGAAAAAAACAAAGCCTGATGGGAGTGTGGAGGGTGATGAAGATGTGATGATGACGAGTCCAGCACCTGGACATAACGCTGCTTCCGCTGTCCGCAGAGGAGTTGGACATGTCCAGACCATACATTTTGCGCAGTTTGGGACGAGCGCGTTCGCTGGTTTTGGGAATATTCTGAGGCATGTCGTCCAAGTCATCCAAGGTGGACTGACGGGAAAACAGCATGGTGGCTTCGGTGTATGCGCTGATGGATGGACAGATGGACAGATGACATGAGCGGAAATATAATGCAATGAAAATGATGACAAGAAAAAATTTGAAAAAAAAAAAAGAGAATGAGGTTGCCAAGTCTCCTGATTCTCAAATGTTGCTCCTGAGATAAGAAAAACTTTAAATATCATGAATGTCAAATGTCATGAAAATTATGTCAATGCAAAAAATCTTAACCTTTTCTTTTCTAATAATTTTGTTTTGATTCTTTTGAAATGTAGAAACATAATTTCTTGATACTTTTCGTGAGATTCACTCTATAAATGATACAAGTCAAAGCAGAAGACCTGGAGATGCTGTCTCTGGAAGCGAAGGAATCCAGGCTGTGGCCGACTCGTCTGCGGCGCTCTCTGTTTGAGCAGGAGTCCTCCTCACTGATCCGGTCCAGTCCAGATTCACGAGATCCGTTCAGTTTCATCTGCTTCTGGTAGTACACATGGATGCTCTCACGGGACGGCACGTTTCCCTGCAGGACGAACAACACAGTGGATCAGTTCTAGACCAACATCAGCTAAACTGATTCATTTAATTGTTAGACTATAGTCATAAACTTGTTTCAGTTCCAAAGAGGTACCAACAGCATTTTTTGGTGTATTTTAAATTAAATTACACATATTATTGAACTTAAAAGTTGAATTAATTTTAGGAAATTTTTGCAATCATTTGCCATCATTACATTTAAAAATATATTTCTATATATTATAAGCAGAACCTTCTTGACTTCTCTGGTCAGCATGCAGCGCTCGATGCGCAGAACGGTGGAGATGTCGATGTATTCTCTGCAGACGGAGTTCAGCCACTTGGTGATGCTCTCAACGGTGGTCAGAAACAGCACCCAGGTGAACTTGATGATGTTGACGACCCTCTTGATGATATTGTCTACAGGAAGTGGAAAGGTTAGTTTGGTTTGTCTGAAGTTTATATGAACAGGAAACCAATGCGCTCCATGTACACACCTGGTCCGTCCGTTTTGTCTTCCTCTGAACTCTGACGATCTTCTTCACCGATCTCTATCGCCACATGACCTACACACAGGAAGTTGCTTATCCATGAGATCAATTTATAATTATGGCCACAGTTTTTCAGTTCAATTTTCTATGAGTCTATTTCTATCTCACAATTCTCTCTTTGTTTTTTTGTTTCTGGCCTAATAACATCTGGCAAAGGGACTAATGAAAACTAGCCTTCGGGCTAATTTGGGTACATTTACATTCATGAATGTTGATTAATGTACACTGTCCCTTTTTGTGAAATAAATGAATAAAAAAAAAAAGAAAAAGAAAAATGTCAGAATTACAAGATAACTCGGAATTCAGAGTTGTTTCCTTGCAATTCCAAGTTTACATCTCACAATTCTGACTCTTTTTTTTGTTTCCACCATGGGAATTTTTTTTTTATTACAACTTCTCATAATTCAGACTTTATTTCTGACACATTCTGAAGAAATCACATGTACAAGATATAAACTCAGAATTGAGAAATATGAACTCACATTTTTGAGAAAAACGTCAGATAAACTTAGAATTCTGACTTTTTATCTTACAATTCCAAATTTACATCTCTCAGTTCTGAGTTTATATCTCTCAATTTGTATTTATTTTTTGTTTCCACCATGGGAAAAATAATAAAAAAGGTAACTATGACTTCTCATAATTCACAACTTTATTCTCACAATTCTGAATTTTTTTCTCTGAATTACACATTTATATCTTGCATATTGAGTTTATCTCACAATATGCAATTCTGCTTTTATGTCTAACAATTCTGAATAATTGAAATGCCACAATTACCTTTTTTATTGGTGGTGGAAACAAGCTTCAATAATTTTCAGATGATAAAGATTGCCATACCTTCTTTCTTGTCTTTTCTACGTCTGCGGCTGTATCGCTTCCAGAAATGACGTCTCCCTTTGCCTCTTTCTTTCAGGGCTGCTTTAGAGTCAGCGATCCAGGTGTGATACACAAACTACAGAACATCAATATGAATTCATCTATTAATGCTATGTTTAAATAGTGTTGCACAAGAACGTCAACACACACACGTCACATGTTCAGCCATTTCAGGAAGCCAGATGAAATTTAACTCATGATTCAAATTTGTTCACAACATACATATATTACATGCATCATTTAGACCATGAATTTGTATTTTAACCCCTGAAAAGTCTGAATTTGACACTGGATTAACAAGCACATCCACCACAGAATACCCACAATGAATACAAACAACTGTTTTCCATCCAAATTTTCCAAATCTTTGAAATCCATTTGCATTTTTGACTTGTATTATACATGTGTATTGACATGTTTTTATTCATTCATTGGATTGAATGAGTTGTTTGAATCCAGGTTACACAAGAAAATGGAAAATTCAAAGAGAGTAAATGTTTTTTGCTCCACTAATATCTGAATGATTCGTGAACGCTCAGTGTAAAATGGTTTGATGCTTTTTGTGGTTATTTCTCAAATGCAGTGGAGCAAATCACATAATTTAGTAGCAAATAAAAACCTTTAAAGTAAATAAACAGAAATAAGACAATGAAATGACTTGGAGAAAATAAAGTACCTTCCCAAAAAACACCACATTAAACAATGAACAACACCCTAAAATCATTTCCATTCCATGCATCCTCAAAGGAGTTATATTTCAACATTTCATTTTATTATTATTATTTTTTTTTTTTACAAATATCGTAACTGGAACAACATGGAATGGAAATCTTACACTAAAACACCATCAACAAACACAGAGATGGAAACACAGATGACACGTTCCCCGCGGTGGTACCTTGGCCGCCCTGATTAAATACTGCAGAACAGTTTTGGGCAGTTTAATGACAGATCTGGGTAAAGCCACGAGGGCCGAAGCAAACTTTCTGATCGCTCGCTGAGAGGAGAAAAACCAGGAGAAAGTCACAGCATCAGAGTCCTGAAGCCCTTCAAACAGTTACAACACTATACAATACAACACATGAACAATAAATCACAAGTTTGTCACTAAACAGATGGATAAAACCGCCGCAACAGATGCTCTGGAAAAAACACTGGTGCTTTTGAGGAATGTTTATTTGTTCATCTCTCAATCATGATTGTATTGCATTTTATGTTTTGACCATAAAACTAAGCATTAAATATCATCTTACTCATGACGACTGATATCTATCTATCTATCCATCCATCCATCCATCCATCTACCCATCTATCCTCCCATCTACCCATCTATCCATCCATCCATCATCCATCCATCCATCCATCCATCCACAAACCCACCCACCCATCTATCCATCTAACCATCTACCCATCCTGAAGTACCAAACCACATGTTCATATTTAACATAGAAACTATATATATATATATATATATATATATACAGTATATACACACATTTATATAAGTATCTGCTACACTGTTACAAAGATTTCACTGATTTACATTATAAACTATCAGAATTTTATACTTTTTGTTCATATAAGTATCAGCGTCTGCACCAAACTGCATATTTTGTTTTCCCTCCAAATTCTCTCTATATCACACTAAATGAGCCATAAAAGTCTGATGGATCAAAAATGATACAAACCATAAAACACATATGCGAACTGAGAAGAATAAATGTAAGCTGGATTCCAGAGAAGTTCAATCTGTTTTCTTCTGCAGACTCACCTGGAAGGCTGATCTCTTGGGTGGTTCTTCATCTTTTTTCTCCTCCTCTTCCTCTTCCTCTTCACTGTCAGTTTCAAACAGGTAATAATCACCACTTCTCACCACTGAGAGAGGAACGGAGGAGCAAAAACAATCATATAAAATTGGCAAATAGGAGAATAACATGTTTTTGAGAATTCATATAACACAATAAACGTTGAAAAAGTTTGTTATTGACTAATCAATTACATGACATAACAGAAAATACTAATAAATCTCTTGACCGAACTTACCTGAATCTCTAAATCTGAAAACCATAGTCAAACTTAGTTTTTAAGGCATAACAGATTAGCATGAGTTATTAACGTTTGTAAAGCAGTACCATAAAAAAACAATAAAAACCTTAGAATCTCGCACATCCCATTTTAGGCTTTTTATAAAATGTATGTTTTATATTTGTTATACTACTTCAATAAAACAGCATATTATCAATCAAATAAATCAACAAAATTATTAAAAACTACACCCATATCTCTGGCTGGGTTAGTCAGTCATCTTACACCACAGAAACACCTCTGTGTCTGCAGTTTCACAATCGCACGGCAAAACAGGATTTGGAATAAGGAAACTGCCTTGTGTCCTTGAACAGAAGAGCCACAATGGATGGGGAGGACAGGGGAGGATGCTGGGAAAACATTTCAACACTTTATTTGAGAGCCTCAGATTAACAAAACCCTAAAAATCTCTTAAAAAGACCACATTTTCTATAGTGATTAGTGTCTCTCTTTAAAAAAACTACAATGGTGATAATCATGGTTTTCAGACATGGCACCACAGTAATACCATGGATTTTTGGACAGGATCATGATATTAATACTATGGTATTCTTTGCAGTACATGTAAATACCATAGTATATGAATATGGCAATCATATTCAATCATGTACCATGGTACCACCACAGTATGTTTGCGTATGACAGCTTTTCCTTAATAGTCTATATTCTAATCGCTATATAAAACAAGTATTGACATTTAAAGAAGGTTTACAGTTAAATCGCATCTCATGTGCTTCAGTATCACGCTGATAACGGAGATCAGCTCATCAAAGACGACAAAATAAAAATACCATCTCACTCATACCACACCAACACAATGAGTTTGAGGGTATTTCTTTTGCTTTTTGATGGTTTTCTGTTGAGCACTTTCTTTGTTGAAGAGGAGATAAAGAGAGGGACCAAAAATGTCTGATTTATAAAGTTATTTCACCCAAAAATGAACATTTAATAAACCTCTTGTCAATCAAAAGACTTTTTTTCCCACATGGAAATCACAAGAAGTAGTGCCTAGTAGCAAATAACCCCCTCCCCCCACTCCCCAGTTTACTGAAAAAAATGTTTTTCTTTGTATTCTGAATTTCAACTTCGTATGCTGCACTGTATCATTTGTTGTTGAAATGTTCAGGGTTTGTAAGATGTTTTTAATGCTTTTTGCTTTATTTAAAAAAAAAATACAGAAAAACTAATACAGTAATATTGTGGAATAATTGAAAATTTTTTCTCTTTGAATATATTTTAAAATTTAATTTATGCTTCACATTTTTGTGGAAATTGATCAATTTTTTTCCAGGATTTTTTTGTTAAATAGAATGGCATTTATTTGAAATATAAATCTTTTGTAACATTATAAATGCCTTTAGAGTTTGATCAGTTTAATGTATCTTCTATGAACAAAAATATTAATTCAATTTAAAATTAATTTTAAAAATATAGAAAAAACATTGACTTCCATTGCACAAAAAAAAAAAAAAAAAAAAAAAAAGCGCCACTAAAATTTGGTCTCCTCCGCATCA